CAGAAAACAGCGCCGAACATCGCCGAGGAACTAGAAAGACATGGAAATCCCACAATTCCTTTTTTTTTCAAGTTTGGCCCCCGGTCTACTCTTGCTCAACAGACCACAATTCAGACCCCCCTCACCTCCCACAAAAGAACCCAGGAAACCTTTGAGGGCCCCAAATCGTTGAATACCTAAAGGGAATTCATGATTTCTGCGTTTCCGCATTTCCCCTTCTATACGATTCCGAGGCTTGCGCAGGGCCTCAAATGGAGTCCCTGGGCGCAAGAAGCGACCAACATGAGATTACATGATTTAGCCGATCAATCCTAGCTAGAACTTGAGCGCGCGCGAAGCGCGCGCGATGGTTCTAGTACATATAAACAAATACAAATTTACACATGCGCGCACCTACACATATATATATATATATATGTATATATAAACATATATATATATATATATATATATATATATATATATGTGTGTGTGTATCGCACATACATAATGCATATATACAAATATATACATATATACATATAATATATATATATATATATGATAATAATAATATGTAGATATGTATAGATATATACACATATATACAATTATATATACAAATATACATGCATATAGTAGACATCTACACAACAAACGGGAGGTTGTTCGGCCACTGGGAGGCCCTCGCCGGGCCCCGGGGCCGTCAGAAAACGATTCGGGATGAAAGACCGGTCCCGGGGCAAGGGTCAGAAGTCCTGGGGGCGGCGTATTGAAAAAATCGGGGCGCCGCGTGTCTGGGGATGTTGCTGCCCTTCCCCTGAGATCCTGGCGTCTCAATGTTTTTGAGCCGGGCGTCTTCGCCTTTTTTCGGGCCCCGGTGCCCTCGCATATCGATCTGCTTCGGAAAATGGCTCAGAAAGGTGGGGTCTAGGGCTCCGGGCGCGATAGTTTCCAATGTTGGATTTTATTTGCTACGTCAGAAATCAGGGCATGGTTAAGTCGGGCGTGTCCCTTTGCAGGCGGAATATTCGAAAATAGTGAAAAAACAGTCGGGGGACTATTATTCGAGTACCTTTTTGGCCATTTTTGTTTTATTCGTTCGAGTATTTATATAACTGTTCCTCGAAAGCCCCCCTGTAGGGGGACACGCCCGACTTGAGGGTATGGGGCTTCTGGGGGGGCCCTCGTCGCCACGGCTGGGCGCGCCGCCGGTGGGAGAGGGGGGGGGGGCGTGCGCGCCGCCGCCCGCCGTACCGCGCCTGGAGCCCGCGCGTCCGTCAAGAGGAGGGCGAAGTCGGGCACGTCCCTCCACAGGAGGAACCCTCAAGCCTGGTTTAAACAAATCGTCTGGGGGCGATTCCTTGCTGTGTCTGACTACGTGGGCTCTTTGTCAGTTCTTTCTCCCAAAATCTGCCTGGAGCCCGCGCGTCCGTCAAGAGGAGGGTGAAGTCGGGCACGTCCCTCCACAGGAGGAATCCTCCAGCAGGGCTCGAGTTCAACCATGTTTTCCGTTTTCGTTTTGTTTTCGTCATCCCTAGTTATGTATTCGTGCCACATTTGCTGCAAAACGAAGTCAAAACGAAAGCGGTCCACGAAATTGCCAAAACACCGTTTAGCTCGAGCCCTGTCCTCAAGCGTGGTTTAAAAAATCGTCTGGGGACGATTTCTTGCTGTGTCTGACCATTTTTGGAGATGTTTGGGCTCTTTGCCACTTCTCTCTCCCAAAACCCGCCTGTGGGAGGAGATGCCCGACCTACTGCGGGAGGAATCTTCAAGCGTGGTTTGAAAATCGTCTGGGCACGACTTCTTGCCACGCCTGCCTATTTTTAGACACGTGTTTGGGCTCTTTGCCACTGCTCTCTGCCCAAACCCGCCTGTAGGAGGAGACGCCCGACCTACGAGGAGGAGGGGTGGCGAGGCCGCTGCCCTTTGGGCGGCGAGGGCCTCCCCACATGGGGAGGCCCTCCTGCAGTGAGCGGCTTGAGTAAGGAACACTCGCTTTTCAAAAGGGGCTCGGTCGTTCCTTAGGTCTGCATGCGTTATTCCTTGGGATAAATTCGATGTCTGTTCATGGGAACCTTGGGCGGCGACGTTGAAATCTGCTTTTCCTGCGTGTGGACAGAGTGGGGACCGCATTTGGCCCATCCTCCTGCTCCTCCTCTCCCCTCCTATTCCCCCTCCGCCTCCTCGTTCTCTTAGCCCCCACGAATCCAGTACCAGTCTGGTCGAAATCCGGTCCAAATTTGTTCCAAATCCGGTCCAAATCAGGCCCAAATTGGACAGTACAGGGGGCCACGCAGGCTCCCATGGAACGGACACCAAAGATAAACAGGGGGCTTCGTATCTTATTTATCGCTCCTAAGGTCAACCCCCCGACCGTATGGGGAGGCCCTCGTCGCCCCAACGGCCGGCTCCGCCTCGGAAGGCTGGTCGGGGCGCGCTGCGGCAGCTCCCGGCGGTGGCGGCGTCGACATCTTCTCGCGTCCCCCCGGCGCGGGGGCGCCTGCGGCATATAGGT